CGGAAACTCCCTCACACATCAGAGCCGCTGCCGTGCTGCTCGTTTCCACCATTAATCCAACTTGCTCTCTCCCACGCCTGTACATCCACCTGCCCTCTTCAGCGCCTTCAGCCTGCTGACGATGGACAGCGCGGTTGGGCGCTACAGACTGGAGCAGCAGTAGCCAAGGCCTGGGCAGCCGGCGGCACGAGTGCCAAGCTGCTGCATAACTAGGAAAGGCAGCCCTGCCAAACGGCTCTCCCCAGTGTGGTTTTATCTCGACTAGCCTCCACCCTGAGGCCTTCTGGCACGTTGCACCGTCAGACGCCGCTACATCAAGGGAGGGGGAGCTGCACCGCTGCTCTTTGTGGATTTGGATTTTTAAAAGCAAGTTTTCAATGTCGTTTTTTCATTTTATTCACCCGTCAGCTCTAGCACCTTTCGTCAAAGGATCCCAAAGCACCTGACAATGATCAATGCAGCCTCATCACCCCTGTGAGACAGAATTCTAGCCCTGGACAGAGGCCAGGTCACAGCAAGTGTGTAGCAGAGGCCAGGCATGGGCTTTAACCAGGACACCACTCTGCTGATTGAGATTATTAGCGGATTTTCTGCAGTTAGCCTCTTTCATCCCCCGTTGGCTTTCGGGTTGGCTTCCGGTAGGTGCGCAGCAAGCAAGATTTGCATCCTGCTTGTAACAGCACCTTACAGAAGCAGATTAGGTTGGACAACCAGGACCTGCCCTAAGCTAAGAAGGCACTTGGCAGCAACCCCAGTCACTGCCTCCTTTTCTCCTCCCACCTGGCGCCCAACTGGGTCCTGTCCTCTTTCAAAAGCCTCTTCCCCCTTTCTGCTCAGTCATGTACAGCAGGCAGCTAATTTATCAAACCTCCTGGACTCCTTTGCACTGGCTGCAATGAGGCCTAAGAACAGGTGCCACGACCACCACGACACAAGGATTCTGGGGAGCAACTGAGCTATGAAGGTGCAAGCCGGGATGCAGCCGAAGAGAAGCCAACACCCCCTCTGGGATGGGGGAGTTGGAGGGCAGATACCGAAGCTGAAGAAAAGCAGTATGGCCTACCCTGTGCTCTTCTGGCAAGTCCAGTCAGTGGGGACACTGCTACCCCCGCTTCATCCCAGCTATTTAGTCAGGTTCTAGACAGGCACAGACAAGACAGCCCAAATAGCACATCAGCCCCAAAGGCACATGGTCTGATAGAACAAATACGCGGTCAGGAAGGGCAGAGGAAAAGATTACAGAGAAGAGCCTAGCTGGAGGATACTACATCTAAAATTCAATCCAGATAAGTAATGTGGTAAGCAACATACATCAGAGGAGGACTCAGCGGGCTCTCCCTCCTTGAGGGTTGGCTTCATAGCTGGGAAAACATCTCATCAGACAAGCCTACGGCCAGTGGCCCTAGTGAGATGACATCAAGCTTCCTTCCTTCAAAAGATCTCCGTACATGTACCTGCAACATGGAAAAAGAGCACCAGGAGGACTAAAGCAGGGCTACTGGCTAGTGGACCAGGAAGCCCCCTCTGCTCCATTTTCCAGTGTGCATTGCTAAGTTAGTGCAGTGGTTGAGAAGCTTGTGAGCCAGGCTCATTACAAGATGACAGCAGCTTGTCATCAGCTAAGATTCCCTCTCTCCCCTCCCCCCCAGCTCAACTTGACCCCCCTTCCCTCCCCTCCAGACTCCAAAAGATTTCCCCACCTTTTTACTGCTTCTAAAGCCCCTAAGACTTCCCGTCACATCCCCTCTTCCTTTTGAGATGGTATCGGACTCCTCTCCAGAGCTTCACAATGCTGCTCTGATCAATAGCTTCTACAGTGCTCCTAGACCCTGACGGTCCAGGGCATTGGACACAGATCCACAGAATAGGATTGCCAACTCTGACTGAAGCTATTCCAGGAGATTTCCCCCCCCCCCCCCCCCAACATGACAATGTCATTTTCTTAAAATATCCTATTCAAATCCCCCAGATTGCTTTCAGCAGTCACTGGGAGATTGATGCCAATTCTGGGAGACTCCAGGCCAATCCTGGAGAGTTGGCAACCCTACCTCAGAATATGTGACTGTTTAGGGCATCAACTGAATTTTTCTACATAATCACTTTTGGTGGATTTAAGTGGAAGAAGAGCCAGACTAGAATGAATCAGAATCATGCCATTTTGGACACTATATTGCAATACATTGTGCTAATGCAAGATAACTTGGTCCCAACCTGCCCTGCATCTCAGTCACATACTGGGATACACAGGTGCTTAGATACAAGGATGATCAGTATAGGTGACTCACAAATACTGAGGGTAGACAGAACTTTATAATGGGTTTGAGGAGTATATATATATATATTTTTTTTTAATATGGAGATATACCTATCTCATAGAACTGGAAGGGACCCTGAAAGGTCATCAAATCCAGCCCTCTGCTTTCACTAGCAGGACCAAGTACTGATTTTGCCCCAGATCCCTAAGTGGCCCCCTCAAGGATTGAACTCACAACCCTGGGTTTAGCAGGTCAAACCACTGAGCTACCCCTCCCCCCATTCCTTCAATGGGAGCAACACACCACACAGAGACTGTCACTCGCCCATCCTAGTGTGGCAGAAATATAGAGAGTCCCTATTTATGGTGTTAATCTTTGGAAATGGGGCAGTGTTCATCCCAGATGGTGAGCCAAATCTGTACGCTGAGGTCTCACATACTAGAGTCAATATGGAAGTTAACACCTGATAGATAGGAAGGGATGTGATTAAATTCCATTATTTTATGATGACTAAAATTAAGAACCCTAATATGCATCAAGCAGAGGGGCTTTGATTTTAGAGGCATCAAGCGGACATAAATTTGTGGGGGTCCAAGAGTCAATAGAAGAACATTTTCCAAATTGTCAGGCAAACAGAGTCTGCGTGATAATTTCAGCTAATGGTGACACAGGCTTTCGCCCTGTGAGGAGTTGTAATGTGGCCCTTGAGGGTTTGGGATTGGAAGATGGAACTTTTGATAAAGTAAGACTCTTCTTGAGAACGCCTTGTGGTTTAGTGTGACTATAGTCACCTTGAAATAAGGGATGCATCGGGATATCAAGTGCTCTCTTTCAAGCAGTCTGCTGACATGAGAACACTCTGGCAGTTTTATAAGTGTGTTCTCCAGCTGAAGTGGAAAGTGAGGGACATCCTCCCTTTTCTTCCCTCGTCTCCTGGGGCTGCAAAACAGTGCTACAGAATCTCCATGTACATTGCCTGGGACTGTTGGTATAGTTTAATATACTCCTTTGAGTGGCATGAGGCAAGAGAAGCCATCCACTGAACCAAAGTCTGGGACATAAGGCCATGCAGGGAGAGCCAGGCTTAACTAGCCATTTTTCAGATTAATACCCCTCCCCAACCTCCCACCAGAGTCCTTTTCTTTTTTTTAAAACAAGAAGTTCATATTCTGCACGAGCAGCCGTAGTAGAGCAGGATTATTGGTCAACTTTCTATAATAGCCACATGTGCATTTTCTCAATGCATTTCCTGAATCCAACCCTACATTGATAACTGCTTTTCTTTCTACCCAGTCTAGTTTATCCCCCTGGTGAAATACATGGACACAAAGCACAGAGTGAGGAGAAGCCAAAAGTTTCCATTTTATGGATCTGTACTGATCATGCTAAGCCAGCTGTTTGTGCAACCAAACCCCTTTGTGAATGGGGAATGAAACAAACTCAGCATGTGATTTCTGTAGAATCTGTAGAAAGCGCCCGTCACGGAGCATGGTTTGTAGATACCATGAAAGTACCTGTAGTGTAATTAATATTTAAACATAGTCTTCACCTCCCTCCTATCTTCCCCAAACACTGAGCATCTCTCTCACGCAGATCCTAAAGGGTTAAACTGGAAGCATGTGCTTATTTCACAGCCCAAAAGGTGGTGTGTGTGTGTGTGTGCTGGGGGTGGAGTGGGGTGGGCTATTAAAATAATGCATTTGGGGCAGGAGGCCGAAAAAAATTTAAACCAGAAGAAATAAAAGCATTTGTTCCTGCTCACTTGGGGCAATAGTCATCACATCAGCAAGTGAGGTCTCTTCTTTAATATGGTGGGGCAGCCTATGAAGACTATTAATCCCAGCATGGAGTGCTCCATCTTGATCTGCATACCAGGACACGCTCGGTATAAGGACAGAGGCTTTGCATGCTGGGACCTGTAGTCTGGCACAGGCCATGCCATTGTATTTAAATACAAAGTAGGTGCAGAGCTCTGGGGCACCAGACCCCTAACAGGCAATGCTCCCAGTTGGGCAAAGTTTGAGCAGCTGTGCTTGCCCCAGAGGATGAATATGATGATGATGTTGGTGTTCGTATGAATACTATACTATGTAGTCCCAGTCTATAAAGTTTTAGTCAGCAGTCTGAAAGCCTGTATTAATACAGCCCTTTAAAGGGACACTGTCAAATAATTTTAGTATAAAATTTGGCCTTTTTAAAAAAAAATATTTGGCCACATTCCCCACTCATTACTCCCAAGAATCAAAAGCCATCTTGTCTCTACACATATCATTTTGTGAGAGCTCCTCTTCTGCCTAGTTATTCCCAAAGCTGAGCACCATTTCTGCTGGCATCAAAGGTGAAGCGGGCACACGATGGCTGACGATTTGTGCTTCTCTAGAAACGTTTGGAAAAACTTCCACCTCAATAGTTGCCAAGTGATTAAAAAGGGAAAGATCAATAGGGGAATATTCAGTTTCCAAAAGTCTCAGAGGATTTGCAAAGGGCAGTTAGCACTTATAGATGTAAAGTGCTATAAACAATGGCGACTTATCCTCACAATGTCCTGTGAGGTTGGTAAGTATTCTGCCATTTTACAGATGGGGAAAACACAGTTTGAGTGACTTGCTCAAGGCCACACAAGCGAGTGGTGGAGCTGTGCTCTAGAACCCAGGAGCCCCTGTGCTCTAGAACCCAGGAGCCCCTGTGCTCTA